AGCACACCTCCCAAGTGCGGTAATTTTAAGTCCTTGTGTTAGTATTGATATATGGATATGACTTACTTATAGCATGGTCAACTAGTCCACGATTAATTCTTTCTTCTTTTTTGAATTTATTCTTAATTTCATGTCGTGTTCTGTTTGGTAGAATGGCATTGATGAGGGTGAAATCAGTGCCAACAGTGCTCAGAGCTTTGTAGAATTTGTTGGTTTCTGCAAAGACATGTGAAAGAAGCATCTATAAACATTCATAACATCATGTGCATTCAAATACAAAAAAAAGTGTTATTGTTATTACCTCGATCAGTCCATGCTGATGTATGTGTTTTCTTTTTAAAACTTGCATATGTTGTATATGATGCCTTCTCATACACTACTTCACTGTCACAATGGTCATGTGTCTTGGGTGGAGAGGCTTCTACTAATAAACTGCAAGGTAAACAATTAATAGTAAAAAGACAGTATGTGAAAGATTGAGTTCAATCATAGTAGATATCTATAAGGAATCTCACAGTCGAGACAAGATGGTGAATACATGATAAAAAAGATGGACACACTACTATATGGATGATAATACTACTATCACTACTACTACATATATAGTTGTATATAACTACCTTCATGTGTATATATATATATATATTTAGTTAGACAGGAACACTGTATATATTCCCATGAATTTACACCATCTATTTTGGAACTTAAGATGACACTGACCTTGCTTCATTAACAACTATCGTACCGTCTTCACTTATTCTAACCTGAGGTACAGGCATTGCATTATCTCCCTCCTCCTCTACTGCTTCCTTCTCAACATTTTCTTCATTCTCTGGAGTATTATCCTTTCCAACGTGATCTTCGTCCATCACTTCATTCTCATCCTCATTCCTAGAATCAATTCAGAATGAGAAATACATGTATATTCTGGTCAAGAAATGGTCAAATTTAATTTTTAAAGTAAACTTTCTTTAAAATTAACACTGTATATTAATGTTTCAATTTTGGGACTACTTTATTTGTATCTCAAAGTAGATACTTCTGAAATGCTGTTATATACCACCTCATCACCTAATCATGTTGATATGTACTAAGTAAAAGTCGTACAGTTGA